AGGGAAGATAAATTTATTGACTTTCACTAGCACATTCTCTAAAATACCTTTTGGGTAAACTAAAGATCTATCAGCTAATTGAAGAGTTATAGCCGTCGGTTCAATTTCTCCTAACCCAAGATTTTTAAAGGTTGAATAAGGCATAAGATTAATGCTAGCGCCTAAATCAATGAGTGATCTAAAATTTTTACCTCCTATAGTACAAGGAATAGTAAACTTACCTGGATCGCCGAGTTTTTGTGGAAGAGGCCGAGTAAGAATTGCACTAATTTGCTCCGTGAGTTGGATCATCTCGTTCCCTTGCAATTTCTTACTTTTCTTTACGAGGTCCTTGAGGAACTTCACCCACTTTGGCATCTTTTGAAGTGCTTCAATGAAAGGAATATTTATGCGAATTTCCTTCAACTTGTCCAAAAATCTTTGATATTCGGCGTCGAGCTTCTTCTTTATAAACTTTTGAGGATAAGGAATTGGAGGGACTTGTGAAGGCACCGTCGATGGTGGCTCGTCATGAGATGATTCTTTTTCCTCATTCTTTTTCGGCTTCTCGATTACCGTGTTTCTCTTCTCTTTTCGTGGGGCTTCCTCCAATTGCTTACCGTTCTTCAAGGTGACTGCTTGGCACGTCTCAACCTCGATCTTTTTCGTTAGCAATCTTTGTGGATATGGGATTGGCTCGACCCATTCGGCTACAGTGACTTGCGGCTTGACTTGAATTTCTTCTTTTTTCTCGATCTTGAAATCGATAGCTTGGCACGTCTCGAACTTTTGCTTTCGAGGATCTTCCGTATTCGATGGCAATGCTCCTTGCAGACGGTTCTCTTGATTCACAGCTAATTTAGCGACTTGATTCTCCAAATTTCGCAACGAGGCTTGGGTAGCGGTTATGAATTGGGCCAATATCTCCTCCGTGTTTGATTTTTGGGCCGGTGGATTGTTTCCTTGATAGCTTTGTTGAGAAGGGGCTTGATTTTGGAATTGGCCTTGAGGTCTTTGATATCCTTGGCCTTGTTGATTTCCTCCATATTGCCCTTGCGATCTCCACCCTTGATTTTGGAATTGACGAGGCGCGTTGTTGACGTAGTTGAGCGACTCCATATCTTGTTGGCATTGGAGCGTGTAATGATTTCCACCACAAATTTCACAACATGGAGAATCAATTGCTTGGACATGTTGTGGTGGACTTGCTTTGATGTGCTGCAGAAGGAGTTGATTTTGTTGAGCAATTCGGGTCACTTGAGCTCGAAGGGCCGTAATTGCATCTAACTCCAACACTCCGGGAACTTTCTTGGCCCCACTAACCGTCCTCTCGCTTGACTTGGCAAACCGATTTTGTGCAATTTGATCCAACATGATGAAAGCATCCGGTATCGATTGACTCATAAAATTTCCTCCGGTTGAGGCATCTAAAACGGTTCGTGCATTCTCGTTGATCCCTTGGTAGAAGATGTGGATTTGTCGCCATTGTTCGACTCCATGTGTTGGACACTGGCGCAAAAGAGTTTTAAATCTCTCCCATGCCTCGTATAATTGCTCGCCTTGCTCTTGGAAAAAATTATGAATTTCTCGTCGGATTCTCTCGTCCTTCTCGGGTGAGCTGTAAACTTTCATGAAAAGGTTGAGGAGTTGAGACCACGACGAGATAGAGTGGGGGGCTTGGGACATCAACCACTGGCGAGCTCTTCCTTGTAAAGAGTGCTTGAAGAGAATTAATTGAAGCGCCTCTTGGGAAACGCCGTTTTGACGGTGGGAATTACAGGTATCTAGAAAATTGACAATGTGAAGATGGGGATCTTCACCCGCCAATCCACTAAATAGCCCGTTATTTTGGAGCATCGTCAATAGGCCTTGCTTGATCTCAAAATTGTGCGCCTCAATAGGTGGATATTGGATGCTCGGGCGGAATCCGTCATGAGTCGGGATTATGTAATCTTGAAGTGCCCGTGGCCTAACTGCTGGCTGTACTGGAAGTTGAGGGGGTGGGTCTTGGACTTGGTTTCCGTTGGCCCCGAGTAAATTACCCGCTGCCCTGCGTTCTTCGTCCTCCATTATATTGTTTGCGCGTTGAAGTCTCCTAGCCGCTCGAAAAGTACGTTCGATTTCGGGATCAAACGGTTCTCTAGCAAGATCGAGTCTTCTACGCATACACAGTACCTAAAAAGAAAAATAAAATAAAACAAAAATTAAATGGGTGAATCGTGAAAATTGTTCAAATCTAGAGCTAGAATAAAATAAATAATTAAAATTATTCCCCGGCAACGGCGCCAAAAACTTGTTGGGCGAAAACCTACACGCAAGTGCACGTATCGTACAAGTAATAAAGTGGATTTTTAAGTCCAAGTATCGATCCCACAGAGAATATTTAATTATTTAATTCTAGACGCTAAATCCTACCAATTGTTATCAAGCCCACCCTACACAGTCGAATATAGAGAAAATTAACTAAATTAAAATAAACAATTAAAAAGACAAAAACAAGAAAGCAATTAAAACGAAGATTTAATCAAGATAAGCAAGCCTAGGATTTTATTCTTCCCCCTATGTGATTATTACTCCCCCAATTCCTTCAATTATGCAAGCAATTGACCCGGATTATTAACCTGAGATGCTAAAATAATCATAACACGCTTCCGCGTGTATTACGATTCTAATACTCTAGATTCAATTACTATATTCCTATGCAATTAATTCTAGAACACAACATTAAGCACAAATCTCAATAATGGCTACCTAAGAGATTAACTATATTCCTATGTTAATACCACAAAGGCTCTTCTACCACAGTTCTAATTATTAACCCGATCTTCCGATTCATGCGATTAACAATAACATAAAAGCACATAAGTTGATCAAGTTCATGCACTTTATAAACAAGTAGAAGAAATAATCCGGAATTAAAACTTGCATAAAATCATAGAAAAGGGTTCATAAATCCCACATAGGGTTCCAAATAAAATCCTAGAAATAAAGACTTTAGCTACTCATGATTAAAGCAAAAACGCAAATAAAATAAGTCATAAACGATAAATCTATGCTTAGAGTCTTCGAATTCTTCGTCTTCGTTATTGCTTTGTTGCTCTTGAAATTGCGTAAAAAGATATTCCAATTGTGTGCTTGGTTTGGTCTTATATAGGGTGAAGAACTTGGGGAAGAAGGCAGTTTCCTTGTGCAATTAAAATCCCTTTACTGCGCTGTTTCGGGGTCTCGGACGGCCGTCCCATAATTTGAACTAAAACTCGGACGGCCGTCCGAGCTTTAAATCTCCAGATTTTGGTTTTTTCACTTTTGGCCCATATTTTCTCCAAAATTGCAGTTTTGACCCCATACTTTTCCAATTCTTCAATTTGTACCTAAAATACAATAAATCAACTTTTTAAGCACCAATTATCGTTAAAACACACCAAAAGCTCAAATAAAAAGGTATGATAAAGTGTAAAAATATACACTTAACAGTTAGCGGAGATGGAATTCTAGTTGAGGTAGGTTGGTTATTTGTGGTCACATATTTATGGATGTTCTCTGTGATTTATTAAAGTTATGCCTCGTAACTTTGAAATCATTTTGCTGGTAAATTTTAGTTAAATTATGGCTTTTCTGGTGTCTAGTTGTTTTATTTCCTAATCTGTATGTATTGTTGTAAGTAGTAGGAGCTAAACTGAGATTATGCACAATAATTCCAAATATGGATATCACTGTGTACATGATGATTAATAAAACTGTAACCAACCTACCTCTAGGGTAAACCATTAACCATGAATTGATATGAAGAGAATTAAGTTAATGTTTGTTGATGAAAAACACTCTCTCTCGATTTATAATCTAGCCACGGAGAAACATGTACGTACTATTGCTTACTGGAGGGCTTTCCAGACTCAAACGTGGTACTGATGTAGGTTTTCGGGATATTTGATTTTAGGGGTTAATATACCATCCTATTGTTCTCCTGATGGAAATGGAAGTATATGAACAGCAACCCTTTCGTGAATTCATAAGCTCTTGCAAAAAGTAACTGATAATTGTTAAGTAATTTCTGAAAGGTAAAAATATTGTTCACCTCCTCATTGTTTCTCAATATATTACGGCTCTTAGTAGGTACTAAATGGACTGCTCATCGGGGAGGACTGGGAAAATGCAATAAAAATACCTCTTGGAGTGGTGCCTGCAGGTTAGATTCTTCTCGAATACTATCAAAATAATATATCTGAGTAAGTTCAATTTATTCATATAAAAAGAAAGTCAAATTTTCACTAAAAGAGCTCGATTTTCATCCAGTACCATGTAATCATTTCTCCCCGGTTTCATGACATATTTCTAGCAGTTCCTTTTGGGAATGGTTTTAACTAACATTCAGTACATTGTCATTTGGGAGTTACTTAAACCAACTGTTGGTTTCCAAAAATAGTTGTTGCTTAGCTAAAATCATATGTGCATAATTTGTCCCACAATGATACATTTACTCTTCCACATTCCTGTGGGCATTGGACAGTTCTCATCTTTCTTTATAGTATTAGTTCGGAGTTCGGTCTCAGTGAAAAGCAGTAGCAGTCAATTTAAATAAGTGACATCTCTTACTTAAAGATATTTCTGATTGTGAGATTTCAAAATGTGAAATGACATTTCTCTAGGCAAAATAGGAACTGGAAATGGCATGGTGAAGTCGTTGCTAGATTCGTGTGGTGAACCTTGTGCAGCATCTAATGCAACTATGTCTATTATTCGAGGTATGTTGAGTTCTTCTTTTTCTTCATGTTGCCATGTTGCCTGTTACCAGTTTTTTTTTTTTTTTTTTTTTTTTTTTTTTTGAGATCTTTCAGTTACTTGTTATGCAACCAACCCTCATTAGGAGAGTTAGTACCTAGCCTTACCAATAGGGTAAAGGTCTAGGGTTCTAGTCCCCCCTCCCCTACTTCCCCTTGTAATGGACTTGAATTTACTCAAAAAAAAAAAAAATTACTTGTTATGCATTTTTCTAAAGGTAGACTATCATTTTGTCTATCAATATGCCACTGTATATTCCTACTGATCCTACTTGTATGCAATTCACCTTCTAGCTGAAATGTGATTCAACGTGCCAAAGTTCATTAACATACATCAGCCAACAAAGAGGTTTTCTATAAGTAATTAACTGATAGGCTGTACTTGATACTTGGTGTTTCTTGATTTAGTTGTTTCTCTTAATGACCTCTTAATACAACTTAAACTCTTATTCGGTCAGATAGAAGCAATTAAGTTTGTTTGGTACATACCTCTGATTGGAACCAATTATAGCTGACCGATTCAGCCGAAAATTCAAGTCTTATTGGTTCAGTGGTGGGCTGAATGTAAATTAATAAAATGTTTACAAAATTATCCCCTTAATTTGTTGAAAGTAGTGGACCATTTGAATACAACATAACTCGGAATGAAAGTGGTGGTATTTTTAATAATTTGTCAGATGTTTCAAAGCTTGTTTATGTAATTTGTTTTTGATTCATTATTTTATAATAAAAATCTAATTTGCCACAGTTTGGTCCTTCCACTACTGAAATATTGGAATTTGTTTATTTTCCATTGTTACTTTCTAAAAGATATAGTTTTACAATGAAGGTTTAGAATAAAATTGAAAATTTTATTTTTTATATGTAATAAATGTATAATTTAGATAAATTTTGTGAAAAAAATAAAATATAATACATTAATTACAATGGACATAGTTAATAATTTTGCTAGTAAATAAATATATGTTTAACAATTATAAGGGCTAATATCGTAAAATTATATTATTCAGATGCAACAGCTTTTTCAGTTATCAAACAAACTTAAACGTTCAACATTCAGTGATCAGACTTTCATCTTAATCATTCAGTTTTGTTTTCAGCATTCAGTATTCAGTGCTTAATGTTATCAAACATAGCCTTGGTGTTTCTTGATTTAGTTGTTTGAGATTGCTTCCAATTTCTTGTGGTTTTACGTTGTTAATGTGTCTATTGATGTGAAAGTTTGAAAAGGTCTCTAAATTGCCGTTTTTTGTTGTGTTCTGTTCTAATTGTTTTCATGTACAGTTGATTCCCAGGAATTAATTATAACCATACCCATAAATCTTGCCCTGGGACATTCTTACTATTATTTCAGGGTCTTCAGCGGATATTTGGTCTTAGGAAGTATAACGGCAGCATTATTTTTGTGCCAGCATCTGGCTTTGAATCTTATGGAGAACCAATAGATGTAGAGAAGGAAGTCATTTTTTAAGAAGAAAGTAAACCGAAATCTGACGATGAACCTGTTACAAACCAGGACTATGGTTACCAGGGTCCTAAAGTTGATATTAAGAGTTTAAACTGGCACAAGATTAATGGACCTTTTGTTTCAATTTGGCTTCATAATGTACCATGGGGAGGTGAAGATACTATGGCAGCCCCTGATGCTCGGGTTTTTGTTCAATTCATGTACATAAATTTAGTCTTTCGGTTATTATATCTCATATTTTTCGATTTTACCAAGTGTTTACTTTTTATTGGACAAATATAAGGTAATTAACTAGCCAAAATAGTTATGAATAAGAATCTCATCGTTCGCTCTATTCGGTATGCAGTTTTCCGATGGTTGTTTGGACCTGATCATGATAAAGGACTGTCCCAAGTTATCCTTGCTAATGTTGATGAATGGATTGAACGATGGAAGCCATGTTAAATCTCCACATGTATCTTACCTGAAGGTGCGTGATCATTTTTAAATCTTAGTCCTTGTTTGGTTCGTACGATATAAATTAGCCAAGATAATAGCCCAATTGTATAATTGCACATATGGTTAATAATAAGCCAAAATAAGAGCTCGTCTTTTCATGATTGCGGGCCTGCCTGAATGTATCGTACTAACCAAACATCTAATCATGTACTCATCTTATACCAAGCAAACGAGGCCTAAGAAAAATCTTGACCTCTTGAAATGAACAGGTGAAGGCATTCATTTTGCAGCCCGGCCCGAGAGTTGATGACCAGGCAAAATCCGAGGAAAAGACACTAATGAGTTATGACAAACCACTCATTAAAGTCGATCAAGGATTGGCTACTTTATTTGCATCTAGTCTTGATTTGGCCGATCTAATACCTATTCCTCGAGATTGATTTTCCCCCTTCTTTCTGAAGATTATTAAAAGAACAGAGTTGATTTCGGGATTTTTGCGCAACGGTAAGCATCGCGTGGCTTGTATTTAAGTTCACAAATAATTGATAATGTATGTGTTTTCATGTATAGACTACCGTATATATACAGAGTACAGACTATATAGTGTTTGTATTTGGCAAAAAAAATGAAGTTCCGGCTTTCCTCAATCAACTTTCGGTTTCCAGCTTATTACTTTGGGATGTAAATTAAATAAAGTTATTTAATATTCTTTTTTTGCAATGTTTCTGGATGCGTGTAAAATGTGTAACGTTTATGTTCGAGTGTAGTAGCTAATTATTACCAATATTGATAATTCTTTTTAATTCGTAAAAAAATATACAATGAGTTGGTAAGACAACAATAATAGTAATAACTAAATAAAAATAGAAAACGACAACCCCCTTTACTCTTTGTGAAAATTAGACATAATAGAGTAGTGAAAACTCAAAAGCACAACTGTTTTCTTTAGTGCTATTGCAATGAAAAAAATTCAAATAACCTGCAATATTCCCATGCACAATTTGCACTTTATTTAATTACACTTTATTAATAAATTGCTAAATACAACAGCAAAAAACCTTATATTTGGTGGGTTGATGCCAAATAGTCAAATTGATGTAGAAAATTAGTAAAAGCAAAGATTTATAATCCATAAATTGATATTTTATTTAAAATACAATAATGAAAAGAACAATAACTCCAACTTTCTTAGTGTAGTTGATTAACTAACACAAAAACTATACATTTAAGGGTACTCATATCACTTATCAGCCTTTTGCAGCTTAATAGTATACTCGGGGCTGGTCCGACAAGATAGATTAACTAAATAATTGGACTTTATTCGATCTTTAACATCTTCAATAATTTGTCGGTCGACTCGCAAATATTATTTTATAATGATTTTATCTTGCCTTATCTTACACCAAATACGATAAAATAATTGGATTTTTATTAGATTATTTAAGCCAGTAACTCTCTCTCGAGCTATATATATATATATATATATATATATATATATATATATATATATATATATATATATATATAAATAAGTTGCCATCAACTTCTAATTAAGTACTTATTTTCTTGTCCTGTGAATTCTCTTCTTTCATCCTTAGTTTTGTGTCATGGTTGTAACTTGTAATAATACGGAAAGTCGAGATTTTCTAAATATTTCGCACTAAATGCAGGATGAGTTAATGTGTGGTTTTTCGGAGAATTAATTCAAGTTACGCTTTGCTGATTCTTTGTTCTATAGTTGCTTCTGGTTTTTCTCTGTTAATTTACTGTGTTCTACATTATCATTATACCTGTTACCTCAGATACCGAGTCTTTTCAACGTGAAGTACTATTTTGGAGGCAGGTTTGATCTAGTGCGGTTCGTGAAGGAAGTACATGAAGCCGGTCTGTTTGTGCATTTGAGAATCGGCCCCTATGCTTGTGCTGAATGGAACTATGGGTTAGTCGTACATTTCAGTCTTCTTACTCCATTACATAGTTACACTCTTGTGTCTGAATGTTATGGTTCTGTCTTTTGGCTTCGTTGAGAAACAATCTAGAACTCATTTGTCAACTAAACAATCTTGGAAGTCCTTTCGACCGTGTTCTTGTTAACTTGTCTGAACAGGGGATTCCCAGTTTGGTTGCATTTTATTTCTGGAATACAGTTCCGAACAACAAATAGCCTTTTCAAGGTGTTTTTCGAATGTTCTCCGTTTAGTAGTTTCTTGATGAATCAGTTTACAGGTTCGAGTTTTCATGTAAAACACGTCTCTTTGTCATCATCAATGCAGAAAGAAATGGAGCTGCAGAAACAGCTGTCAGTTTTAACACTACCGTTCCTTGGGTGATGTGTGCACAGGCAGATGCACCTGATCCAATTGTAAGTATAATTATTCATCGATCCAATTACGTTGTTTTTGATTTTTTTCGTTCGTGTTGCTTCATTAATGAAAAGATGTAATTATGCAGATAAACACTTGCAATGGGTTTTATTGTGATCGGTTTACTCCAAATTCACCATTCAAGCCAAAAATGTGGACGGAAAACTATGTTGGATGGTAACATATTCATTATCTTTATTCTTTGATATTTTTTTATAGCTTTATCTTTTCGACCCGTTGAAGACCTAGCTTTTGCCGTTGCACGCTTTTTTGAAACAGGTGGCACTTTCCAGAACTATTACATGGTGAGCTTTCATCAGATGATTTAAAGATGTAACTTATAATATGGTTGATGCAATCAATATACCTGATTACTAGAACATTTTCTATATTGCAGTATTTTGGTGGAACCAACTTCGGTAGAACAGCCGGAGGACCTTTGATTGCGACTAGTTACGATTACGACGCCCCGATAAATGAATACGGTAAATTTTCTGGACGGATTATAATTTGTTGGTATATGTCCTTTTATTTTTTGGCTTAAAAGATGGAATAGCTTAAGGGTGACTATTGAGTGTAAGACTTTGTCCGAATGCACTGAACCAGTTTATTTCATTACTTGGCAGAATAACAGAACTATATTAGAGCAACTTATGCAGGTTTAATCAATCAGCCAAAGTGGGGCCATCTGCGAGACATTCATACCGCAATTAAAAAGTGCGAGGAACATTTGGTCAATGCCAATTCAACTCAGATGATCTCTTGGTGATAATCACGAGGTATGTTAGTATTTAGCGCCTGTTTTCGAACTACTCAGTGCTGTGATCTGAATAACTTATTTATTGGACCGGGAATCATTTGGCAACAAATTTTCATGTTGGAGTCTCGTATTTTCCTTCAGGCACATGTGTACTACAAATCCTCGAAAGAATGTGCAGCTTTTCTTGCCAATTATGATACCTCTTCAGATGCAACTGTCACTTTCAGAGGGAAATCTTATCGATTTTTCCTTGCATTCGTCACGGACAAAGGTTACTTCGCAAGTCACTGTTGATGATAATAGTGCTTTTACTCGGAGCATCACTATGATAGGATATTCTCTATCATCATCATTAGGGGTGGTTTCGGTACGGTTACCGAACATTTTGTTCAATACCGTGTACCTACCGTATCTTTCGGTATTGAAAAATTCTATACCGTTACCGTACCAACAATTGCGGTATACCGTTATTCGGTATACCGTTAGTTTCGGTACGGTATGATCGGTACGTGGTAATCTACCGTACGTCATTTTGTTGATGAACTCGGATGATACAATAATTAAGATGAATACTAATTAAATGCATAAATACAACAAATTAAGTAAATGAATATGGTAATCAAACAATTTACATGAATATACATTATACGACCGTAATAGCATATGTTGCTTCAATTAACTAATGATTACTAAGATATGTACAGAAAAATTGTAGAAACTAATGAGCAAAAAGTTTCATGGTTTAAGTAAGATAAATAAAAAAAAGTATGTTGTAATAATGCAAATGAAACAAAAGGGTGAGAACTTAGGGGGGAAAGAAAGGGAGAAGAAAATTATGGCAAAAAATATTCCACCAATAAGAGATTAGTTGGACTTTGAAACTAAAGAAGTACGTGAAATAAACAACTTTAACGAGAACCAAATTAAATATTGAGTTTGCATAAATATATGAAAATAATAAAAAAATAGAATTATGTATATATAATATATATAGGATGTATCATATCTTTATTCTTGTTTTTTATTTTTATTTTATAATATGTGTTGACTATATTTTTTATATTTACAATATAAAGGGTAAAATATATTAACTAATTTTTAAAATATAAAGTTACGGTACGGTATTACCATGGTATTGAAGATACAATACCGCTACCGTACCGTAAGATAATGGTACGGTACCGATACCGTACTAAATGTAGTGGTAACCGATAGTTCGGTATTTATTCGGTAATTGTTGGTAGGTATACCGTGGTAATCGGTATTTGGTAATTTTTGCCCAGCCCTAATCATCATCATCATCATCATCATCATCGTCTTGGAGTTGGTATAAAGAAAAGGTCGGTGTTTGGGGGCAACAACTCGTTCGACGCATCAAGATAAACACAACAAGAGATACAAGTGATTTTCTCTGGTATACGACGAGGTAAACATCTTTTAGCAGATTTATATATATTTTGTATCTACATACTTCGTATTTTTCCCCAAGTATTTTCAATTCCTCGCAGCAAATCATATGTTTATTTCTATGCTTTGAATTTATCATTTATGGCAGCATAAACATGGATGAAAAATGAAACGAAAGAAGTAGGTTTGTTCGTCGGAAGCTTGGGACACGCGGCTCTGATCTTTGTGAACAAGAGATTAGTAGGTAAGCGATTATCCAGTAGTTTCAGTACTTATATAGATAATTAATTTCCGTAGCTTACATCAAATTTTATACACAAAGTTATTCTTATTTCTGCTTATTGTTTCTTGCATTTCATACATCAGGATTTGGTTATGGTATACATGATGATGCCAGAAGCAACACAATAGACGTGCTGAGTATGATGATTGGGTTACAGGTTATTATTGTTTTGTATCAACAATTTACGATTTTGTATCGTTTTAAAAACATATTTTTTTTTTTCAGAATTATGGACCATGGTTCGATGTCCAAGGGGCGGGACTGTATTCCGTCGTTCTTACGGGTTTGACAGATTCAAAAGAAGACCTTTCTTCTGCGCAGTGGACCTATCAGGTACCTGCTGCTTATACTTTCGATTAATATAATTGGCGTTGTGTTATTGCATAAGAAATACGAACCATTAATAGTGCTACAAATGATTATATACATTCAGGTTGGAGTCGAAGGTGAGTTCCTAGGACTTGAGAAAGAATCTCTTGCAAATAGTTCGATATGGACTCGGGGGAGTGCTATACCAATCAATCATACTCTGACATGGTACAAGGTATATTGTCTTGGCGCCTCAAATCATATTTAGTTATTGCTAAGTGTATCGTTTGATAAAATATTGAACAACATGGGTTCGATCTTATGATCAGACTGCATTCCTCGCACCATAAGGAAAAGGTCCCGTGTCGTTGAATCTTTCCGGGATGGGGAAAGGTGAAGCATGGGTAAACGGACAGAGTATAGGGCGATATTGGTCTTCTTATCTCTCACCATCAAGTGGCTGTTCTGAGGATTGTGACTACAGAGGAACCTATGACGCATCAAAATGTCTTAAAAATTGCGGTCAGCCTGCTCAAACACTGTAAGCAGGCATACATTAATTCCGCTTTAGGTATATATATATATATATATGAATGCTGATGGAAAATTAAATTCTATTTAGGTATCTTGTACCGCGATCTTGGTTACAACCCGGTGAGAACTTACTTGTCATCCACGAAGAGCTTGGAGGGGACCCCACAACAATCTCTTTTGTCACTCGAAAAGGTCAACGAATATGCAGCCATGTGTCAGATTCGGATCTTCCACCGGTTGATACTTGGGAACCGAGTGTCGGTTTTGGGTCCACAACACCACAACTTGGGCTGAAATGTGAAACGGGATGGCGTATTGCTTCGGTTCTTTTTGCTAGTTTTGGTACTCCTCGAGGGAATTGTGGGGCATCGTTTTATCCGGGAATTTGTCATGCCAATGTTTCATCAACAGTTGAGCAGGTATTTTAATAAGAATATAAAGCCAGTTATTACCCATAATGAACGGGAAAACGAGGTTATCTCTGTCGAATCATGCTCAAGACTTAAAGAGGAAGAGGTAAAAACATGTGTGAACTATTAACACAACTAAATTTTTTTTTGATTTATCGTACAGATGTGTGGTGGGAAGCAAGGATGTTCGATTCCTGTTTCGACAGCCACACTTGGAGTTGGAGAAGATCCTTGTCCGAATGTTCGGAAAAGCCTGGCGGTTGAAATCCTTTGTCAAAAATTGAAATGGATTCTTTCACAAATAACTGCAAATTTCTAACCTTTCGACAACTTGTGCGCGGGCAAGTGTGATAACCAAGGCAACTGATCACCCGCTAAATAAGTTGTATGTATTACGGCATAATAACTTATCCTTGGCCAATAAGTCATATATAATAAATACGATACAATAATCTATCCACCCATGTAACTTTTTTCAGATGATATACAAGGTGTATCCTCCGAGAATCTTTGAATATGATTAATACCGGGTAACATCAAGATCTATGATGTTTTAGTGGGGTCTGTCTGTATCCAGATGTGAATTCAAGATAGTCGGAATCACGACTCTCGAAGCAAATCACCCATAGGCGGGCTCAAAAGTCGAGCGATGTTCGAGTTTTCATGATTTTGGCACCAATTTTTTTCCACCAGCACAAGTCATAAACAAGAAGAGTCAATACAATTAAATAACTATAAAATAAATAAATAAATAAAATCTACAAGCCTAACACACCATACTCAACTTCAATAGAATATTATTAGAAAAAAATTAACACTCAACAAACCTAACACCACACTCAATATCATTGTTTGTTAGGCAACAAGACACAATATAACCTCGATAAATTAATATTTAATGTAAAAAAACATAGATCAAACGAAGAAAACACATTCATCTTCTCAAAACCAAAATCGAATCGGCATTGCATAAGCAAAGAAGAATCATCAATCACATCTCTAAGAAGCAAAATTTTATGTATGTATAATATACTAAATATACTCTTATGGCCAGAAAATGGAACCAAGAATAAACAATCTTTAACTCAAAAGGAATAATTCATAGCCTGAAGAAAAACGCATAGATGTTTCAACCAAAACAAAAAGTAAACACGAGAGTCAATGTCAATTCAGAACAAAATCGAATACATTCGCAAACTACTAAGTAGACGAACCAATTATCTCAACCTCCTAGCTTCTCGTTCAGACTCGAGCAAGGTGAGAATATCTCCTTCCCTAACGGGGCCTTTGACATTCCTCATGATGAAACGGTTCTGATCGTCGATAAATTTGACCCTCACCTGAGTCACTTGCCCACGAGACCCAGTCCTTCCAATCACCTTCACAACCACAGCATGCTTAATTTGCGACTCCATTTCTGCACCAAAACAAACATCGAATCAGAGTATAAATACACAGACAACACACATTCGACACAAAATTACAAATAAATCAAGCATATTTAGGAATAATAAATTGCTACAGCGTATATAATTAGGGGTGGAAATTCGGAAAATTTCCGATTTTTTTCGGAACTAAGATCTCATTTCCGATTCCGATTCCGAAATATTCGGACTCTGAAAATGAGTTCCGATTCCGAAATTTTCGGAATTTTCGGAATTTCAGAAATTTTCGGAATTATCTGAAATAGGGAAGAAATGGGAGAAAAAAAATCGAAAATACCAAAGAACAACAAAAACTATGCGTTAATCGGTACAACACGATCAAGAATTTCAATTATCTTCATATAACCAGAACAAATGGACATGTAACACATAAATAATTCCTAAAATTACATATGTCTACTGAAATAACAAAAAAAAAAAACAAAAAAAAAAATCAAAAAAATATGAATGAAACAAGATACCTTGTTGAGGAACAACCGAACCGAACAGAACAGAACAGAGAAGAAGCCTGAGCAAAGGGATTAGGTTTTTTTTTCTTTCGGGAAGAAGAAGAGGCGCAGCTAGTGGGAATTGTAAACAAAGAATTAGGTTAGGTGATTTTGTATAATGGGACAATTTACATGGACCATTTTAAACAAATAAATTTGAAGCCCAACCCAACATTAATAAATTACAGTTTGCCTAAAAATATGTAATATATAAAAATGTATATTGAGTTTAAAATATATAAAAAATCGGAAGTAATTTTGATCGGAATTCGGAAATTCCGAAAATTTAATATCAAATTCCGATTCCGATCCGATTTTTTTCGGAAGATTCGGAAATCGGAATTTCGGAAATCGGATTACAAAAAATCGTTCCATAATCGGAAATAATCGGATCGGAATCGGCGGAAATCAAAAATTTTGTTCCGGTTTCCGCCCCTACGTATACTAGATGATGAAAATTCAGTACTAAGCAAGCGATTGTATGCGTCGAACGATCAACATAACAACACATACTACAACAGACAATTTGATTTTTTTTTTTCCAATTACTACTTTCGAGTGAACTCACAGATACAGAACATCGAATTAGTATCAATATACAGAGAGAACACATTCGACACAAAATTACAAATAAACCAAGCATATTTAGGAAGAATATAAAACACTCGGAAACATATACATCGTATACTAGGATGAAAATTCAGTATTAAGCAAGGGACTGTATACGTCGAACGATCAACGTAACACGAAACATACTATAACACACAATTTGATTTTTTTTTTTCCAATTATTATTTTCGTGCAAACTCACAGATACAGAACAAAGTATGTTTTTTTTTTAAGGGTAAATTACAAACACCCCCCTGAGGTATGGTCAAATTACAAAAACACCCCTCTTGTTTGGATAATTACAACCACCCCCTCAACTCCTCAAATTTAGTGGAATGTTCGAGATTTTATGGAATATTATCACTTGTGTACCCGTTTTATCCCATTCAAACTCTACATTATGAAGCAAGATGATCATAAAATAGGATTTGGTGGAAAAAATAAGAAAATGGTGGATGAGTGGGAGATGAAAATTCCTTCACCAAAAAAATTGGTGGAAAAATAGAATTTGGGTATATGGTCATATGGGGGTTGACCACAGTGGGAGGCTTAAACAAAATCTCCATAATTTTAGGTGTATTGGTGATACAAAATTTTTAGGCGGAATGCTAAAAACACCTAAATTAGATGAAAAAATGCCGATATAGTGACCGATGGGAGATCCTCTAAGAGCATCTCCAATCGGTTTCACCACTGTTTTTTACCAAATTCTATTTTTTGTGGTGAAAAAATGGGTTCATCTCCCACCGGTAGTATTGTTAGAGTAGGTGACCAACAAGCCAACATGTGGCTGTGGTTTTTCGTATTTATTATTGTAATAAACGAACATTTATTCGTATTAATGATAAAACACCTTGGCATTCTATATCTTTGTCCCTTTGTCACAAGCATAGATATAGTCCTTACAGTTATTACAAGTACTAGTAATTGATCGTTAGGATCGTGAGATATTTACTTAAGTATTATAACTGTTAAACGTGTTCCTAGTCGAAGGGTTACGCCACTAATGAGGATATCGGCCTTTCCCATTAAGACTAGCACTTAGTGTATGTGTACTGCATCTCATCAGTAAACGGTATTGTGATATCGGCATGCATAAGTGGGTGCTCGTAAGTTGACGAGTTCACTGAACTCCCTCACCCTAGAAATCTCTAAGTGGTTCCCAATAATCGAGTAGAGATATCTATGGTATAGTTGTACACCATTAGTCCTTATGACCTAGACATCACCGTGACTTCACTAGAGGACCAGCTGTATCGTAACCTGTCCCTGAGTTCCACCGAGGACCATCCCAAGGGCCAGTGTTCGTGCAGTCCGAAATCTAGTGGGAGGTCTGTGCATTGTAGTCGGGGATTCGATCGCTAGAATAGTCTTGGATGTCCTGTGTGTTCTGAAAGTTTGTAATCATTCTAAGTCTCTGGCCAGAGCTGACTAAGTGATGATTAGAGAATTTGATTCTCTAAGTCATGCACGTGACGATTACAACACTTGGAACGATCGCACCGTCATCGAACATATAAAGAGGTCTCGATGAACCAATGCCTCTAGTTCGATCGGGACATATGTATCGAAGGGACCGTACTGTACGTTAACTATATCTGAAGGTTCTTGCAGGCACTTCATTTGTATCTAGGGAATCATGACGCGTAGTTGCTAGACGCCAATCTTGATTCGTTGGGTGATTAAGGTGAAACGAGCTTCATCTTAATCGTAACTCGAAGGGGACGAGTTTTGACCACAAAGGGTTGTGGGCCCACGGCTAGCTTACACCTGAACCATCGAGGGTCACACTGCTCGTGCACATGAGATCTTTGAATAAACGGTCAGAGATAAAATAGTTTATCTTTGCATGATTGGAAGTCAATACGATTGGGTCCAACATTCGTAATTTGGAATTATGAATGAGAATAAGAAAAGGAAAAGAGTAGGCGAACGTATTGGTGAACTTTCTAAATCGGGAAGTTTCCAAATTTAGAAAGTGCACTGAACTAGGGTTTCCACTTTTGGAAAGTTGGAAAACGAGAGTTGGCACTCGTAATGACGAGGACATTATAATGATTCCGAAAATGTAATCGTTACAATTTTCCGATCATTGAATTGAGAGAGACGAGCAAGTAAAGGAACTAACGAGCTTAAGCTGTTGGGCCCAGTCCAACTTAAGCCCGTTAGGGTTTTATGCAAGGGACTATAAATACATGATTTATAGGCCTTGCACAAAAAAAAGAAAAAACCCTAACCCTAAAGCGGCCGTCCACCTCTCTCTCTCGCTCTCTCTCTCGCGCGGCCACCTCCGCCGTTGACGCCGCCCCGTCGCCGGAATCGGCCATCCCTTGGCCGATCCCTTTCGGTATTCTTTTCTTCTTTCTTTTCTTCCGTTAATTCTAACTACTTCGTGTCTAGTGCCACGTTTTAGTAGATCGAAGTATACGAGGTGAAATCCGAGAGGAGGAAGACTGTAGATCGAAGAATCGAGGAGCAACGCACGAGCCGAAGCCGCACGCTGCCCCACGCGCCGCCCCGGAAGTCCGCGCGTGAAGCTCACGCGCCGCCGCGGTCAATCCGCCGCTGCTGCCGCTGCACTCCATTGCTGCCCCGATTGTACGGATTGGTTTCCGTAGCAATCTCGACGTTCTATACTCTCCTACCTCACGCTTCAAGAGGTAAACACGCGAAACCCTAGTTTCGATTTGAGTTTTGTTTAAACCTATGTATTCATGTTTGTTTCGTATGATTTTATGTGATTATGTGTAATCGATTAAATCGTTGCAAGCATGTTGTTTGGTTTAAACGCGAGCATGTTAATTGATTTAAATTAGATAGAAATTATTAGCATGTAAATTGTTTTTAATTTTCGCTGGAAGCGCAAAGGTACGCAATTAATTGAATTTAATTTGTCGGGCATGTTCTATGTGCATTTTAAACTCGTTTAATCCGCATAAATTTTTGTTTTCCGCTGCGTATGCGTGCCCGAAACCCAACAGTGGTATCAGAGCTCGTTGCGTAATTAATTGCGTTGTATAATATGCTATGATTTTATGCATGTTCGATTTATTGAAGTAGTGATTGTCGTATTATGTAATTGGGAGTTTTCGTAAGTTTAAAATATTTTTGAAATATTGTTTAGAATTTTTCCAGCATTAAAATTGTTTAAAATTGGAAAATCGGATCTGAAATTGTTTTTAAAACGTCGGTTTTTGTTTAATCGGATCGAACCGGTCGAACCGGCCGGTTCGATGGTTGTGTGCGATCTAGTTGACCGAATCCACGTGGATTCGGGTCGGTCAGACCGGTTCTCGGTCCGACTGACCCGACCCACTGATTTGGGTCAGCTGGACCGGGTAGAACCGGACCGCTTCGGTCCGAACTGGTCAGACCGGTTGGGCCGAACCGGTCCACTGAAAATAAAAAAAAAATAAAAAAAAAATTCAGATTTCTAAAATTAAACTTAAAACAAATTGATTTTAATTTTTGGAAAATTATTTTCAATTAATCCCAATTAGATAATTGGATCGACAATCATCTATTTTAGTAAATAGGTGTTAGATTAATTAATTAATTTAAATTGTTAAATTGATTTCAATTAATAGAACACATATATAATATTGATTATATATTCAACTTAATTAGTAGTACCTCAACATTATTTGAATGATTTATGCTAGTTGAGGTTCTATAATTATTTTGAAAAACTCGATAATTAATTAATGTAATTAATTATGTAAATAGGTCGTATGTTCCTCTTAGGACAATATGCGCTTCCATATACCTTTAGAGAACATAGATGTAGGAATCACATAGACCAACCTTCTGATGAGATAAAACATTTTAATAAAATCCCTCATTCTTAATTTAATTAAGAATCATTTCAAGCTATAAAGAAAAACCCAATCTGTTGAGTTATTTCTTTCCTTCTGCCAACGGTTGGATTATGTGTAGCCCTTTACTATAGTGCAGTAAGCCGTGTTAGCGGGGAGTGCTATGGTAGAGTAAGCTGTAATTCAATTGACATAATGATGAAGGTAGCCGTAGAAAAGGGTTATGTTGGATTAACGTGGTCGGCTAGATTAACTAGGGACTGCATTAGTTTGGCATAATCAAGTTCTATGAGCATCTTTGATTGGTAGGTTAGACTTGACACACGACGATTTTGATATTCGCGAGATTAACTTAGGTCATTATCAAGTGTGAGGAAAATTTAATTTAGGGTCATATTGTGGATATGATTGATTGTGATCTACCTTTGGGCAAATATAATCGGGCTAGATTAACTACGGGTTATATTTGTCTATTGGACCTAAAGCCCATTAAGAAAAATCAGTTTTCTCGTTTGTCTACTAGAGGGAAGTGGAACTCGATAAAATTAGTGGGAGAACAATTAAATAACACAAGTCCAAACATTTAATTGTAACAATCATTTAACGCGAATCTCTAATAATCCTCTTCTCTATATGTCTCAGATAATTATGTCTAAGAATCCCATAATGTCAATCCTCGA